TGTGTGTGTGTGTGTGTGTGTGTGTGTGCATGTAGAGGCCAGTAATCAACTTCAGGTATCATTCCTCAGGAACTGTGCGGCTTATATTTGAAGGCAGGGCCTCTCACTAAACCTGGAGCTCATTGATTTGGCTAGACTGGCTGGCTAGCAGGCCCCAGGGATCCTCCTGTCTCCACTTTCCCTTTGCTAGGATTACAAGTGTGTACCACCACATCTGATTTATTTATTTTTTTCCCGTGGGTCTGGGAATTGAATTCTGGTCCTCACACTTGCACAGGAAACAACTTTACCAACGGAGTCATCTTCTCAGCCATGGTACATGGAGCTTTGCAACCAGCCCCTAGTGACAGCAATGTACCCTTCCTTCTCGTCTAAACTCCAGCGATTCGCTTGGTGTTGCTGTGTCCAGGGCCACCTTGCTTTAGTAGAGCCCCGATGAAGTGCACCCCGTACAGCCCACTTCTTTCTTTGCTATGTTGACCCCTGCAGCCACCTCTTGCATTCTGAGGGGAGTTGACCCAGAACAAGAATATGCAACAGTATTGCCATCAGAATGAATGAATGAAGGGCTCATGCAAAGCCCTGGATCCCAGCCCCTGAATATGGAGTGCAGTGGAAAGGGGCCAGGACAGCGCCAGGCATAAGGCTTGGAGAGAGAATGGCTCCTTCTACACGTCGACCCCACTCTTCCTCTGGAACCTTGGCAGGCAGCACTCCTGTTATCCCATGCTCTAAGCTCCAAGCCACAAGGCCCCATGCATCTTCCCATCTCACTGCAGAAGCTGCCTTTGAGCGGTGCGAAGAAACATCAGACCCCAGACACATCTTTCCATTGCTCAGTTTTAAATATTTATTTAAAGCCCAGAAGGGAACAGGAAAAACAGAACCCATTGGGGGATTGAACACACTGACATTTAGACAGAGATGAAAGGACAACAGTGAGTACACATCAAGTGACAAGAAGAGGACGGGGGGGGGGGGCGCAACACAGAGGGGAATACAGGAAGCAGCGCTCAGATGAGGACCAAATGACAAAAAAAGCACATCTAGGCTTGGGAAGGCAGGAAAGGGTACATGGCCCGCATACAGGGAAGGGTGGGCGGGAGTGAGGTATTAAATAATGAAAATCGAATCCAATTCCCCACACGACACAACTTTAGAAACACAGAAATAGAGACTTTCACATCAATCTTCCTTCTAAAAAAATAATTCCATAGTTAATATAACTTCAAAATCCAATTGGAGTCCCGACGTGTTTAGGTTGCATGGAAGGTCACTGCTGTGACCAATGAGGTACCCATAATTGTTCCTTCCCCACCCAAACTGGTCCTGAGGGGAAGGACGGCGGGTTTGTTTCTACATAGCTGTGCAATGTTGAGAAAGCAAGAAGGTTGGCGGCACGTAGAAGGACAGGCTCCTGGAGGAAAGCACTCGGGATGTCACTGGCTTCAGGCATGGCTCTGTTATTTAGTCCACCTTCAAGATCAGCCCTAACTGAGGATCATCCTCAAAACCAAGGGGTCTTCTCCTGGGGTGGGCCTTCCAAGGGAACCAAACCACTCCAGGAGCAAGGAGGACTGTGTCCAAGCGCCTTCTCAAAGGACAAACGTTTCGAAGCCCAGAATTAGCAGAAATCACTCTACTTCTGGTTTCTGGTAGGATTTGTTGTTGTCGTTTTCTTTTTTTTTTCCTTTTTTCTTTTCTTTCTTTTTCCTTTTCCCTCCTCAGCAGATTACATGGGTGACGCTAGTAACATTTTTAACTCCCCATTTGGAGGAGAGAAAGTGGACAAGGCCCCACTCAAAAAGTTTCTTCAAAGCCCATGGCAACAAAAACAGTAGCACCTTCAGAATGTTAAATAAGGTTTTTTTTTTTTTCTCCTTAAAAAAAAAAATCACATACATTACAATTGTGAGCACCAGCGATTTCACAGTGGGAGGTAGCACCCAGCACCCAGCCCAGGGGCCAGCACCCCAGCCTGGGGGTCTGCCTCTCCACACCCCCAGCTTCTCTTGCTCTTCCTCACCTCTCCCAGGTGAAAAAAATAGCAACACACTTCTCTTTGTTTAAATAATATATAGATATAGATATAGATTTCTTTCCTTTCGCCTCTTTCTTTTTTCATGTCTCCTTTCTAATATTGCACATTAAAAGCTCCCAAGCAGGGACCAGCTGACAATACCCCTTCCCCTGAGGTGGCATCAATGACAGGGAGCTCTTTGGGCAGTGGGAAGGGGACTGTCTCCGGAGCTGCACAACAGGTCATGGGCTGGAGTGGGCTGCAAGGCCAGCTGGCTCTGACTGGCTCTTTGGTTAGTTCTTGGGGTTCAGCTGGGATTGGTGGTTCTCCAGGACGGCCTCAGACCTGCTACTCCTCAACTCCCGCAGCAGGTAACAGCTGGGACCTGCACCAGAGTCTTAAGGCAGGGCCTGCGTCTTCTGGGACCAGCTGCCACCGCCTCTTCCGTCCCCTACAAGGCTTAGCAGAGCCTGGAGGTCAGAGGTCAGAGGAAGCATGCAGGTCCAACTTCGAGGCGGTACTGCTTCCCTGATGAGATGGGTGGGAGGTTGTCCACACTGACAATAGGCAGCTGCTGGGGGTCCTGGGTCCGGAAGGTGAACAGTGTCTGGTGCCAGCGGCCATCGTGGACCTGTAGGCAGGAAGAGGACAGTGAACATGATTCTTGCCATTTACAAATGTATTTCCCATCATCTTTCTCTTTGTTCAGAAGCAATGACTTGTATGTGGCACATCTGGGTATACATATGGCTTGGTTGCTTCCAGTTTCTAAAAATGTTTTGATTTTTAATTACATATACATACAATACATATATATATAAGTGGTGTGCCTGAGTGTAGGTTCATGTGTGTGAGTGCAGGTGCCCTTGAAGACCAGATGATGTTATTGGAGCCCTTGGAGCTGGAGTTCAAGTGGTTGAGAGCTGTCCAGCATGGATGCTGAGAACTGATCTCTGGTTGTGTGTGAGAGCAGAGCAGCAAGTGTTCTTACCTGCAGGCTCATCTCTTCAACATCTATCTATCTATCTATCTATCTATCTATCTATCTATCTATCTATCTATCTATCTATCAATCTATCTACCTATCCATCCACCCATCTATCCATCCACCTATCTATCTATCTATCTATCTATCTATCTATCTATCTATCTATCTA